ATAATCAACGGCAGAAATCTTGAAATCTAGTCCTTGCTGAATGAACATTTAAGAATAAAGGGATATTAAAGAACATCGTAAAATGATAATTTATTGTTTATTTAAAAACTTTCTAGTTTCTGATGTCTACTATTTCCAGCATTACTGTTATGATCACAAAAATAAAGGTAATTTTTCTTCTTATTGTACACCTATCCATTTATTTCTTTGATTTAATTTCCACTTTGTTAGTGAAATTTGTTATATAAGTTTCACTGTTTTTTTTTGCTATTATTTGTACAATTTTCAACACAGCAACTCCGGTTGCTTATTGTGTTGTTTTTACCTACTTTTTTGAAAAAAAGTAAAATGTATACGTGTATTTGATATGCCAAAATTACAAAATATCCCCCTAAAATGCACGAATTATCCGCAGCTAGCGCTAGTATCGCTTTTGCTTCCCTTTCCATGACTTCGCACGGAGCGAATAAAGAATATGAGATTATTCAATGACTTCTCAACGATGAAAATACTTTTCTCTTCACTGGCCAATATCGTTTGAAAGTCCGATATACTTCAATCACTTTAATCATTTGGAAAGAGTTCAACGAAGATTTTTTAAATCAGCTTGTTTTTTAAGTGATGGTACCTATTCTATAAGAGGACTTCCTGAAAGTTAATATTTAAATCGTTTTATTACACGTCTTTTAAAAAGAACAGCAATACACTCAGTGATATTTTTGTTCAAGTTATTAAATAACAAGGTGGATTGTATCTCATGTTTGGAAATGTTAAACTTTCACGTCCCTAGAATTAATTCCCGAAGAAATCAAATATTCTATCAACAAGTACACAAAAGTAACAAATACAAAGCATCGCCTTTATTTCAAATAGTCCTTAACTATTCGAACATTGAAGATGATATAGATATTCTTAATTGCTCTATTGCATCTATTAGAAGTATTTTTCTTTCAAATTAATTTGCTCAATAGTTATTAAAGACGGAAATGGATGCATCATTTTTTTCTTGTGTAAGTTTTTTTCAGGATGCACCCTTGTCTGTTTAAATTCGTATTTATTTAGATTTAAATTCTTATATGTATGTAGGAAAGAATAAGCATTTATGTTGATTCCTAATTCTTGTAATATTCCTTTCCTTCTCCTGTAATTAGGGACAGTGGCGGCTTGTAGGTACTACCGGCAATGGGGCACACACTGGAAAGGAATCCTGGGATTCGTTTTTCCCTTAGGAAAACAAGTTCCCCGCTTAATGAAAATTAAATATATTACAAAACAATCAGTTGGGGCAATAATGATTTCTGAATGTGACTACAGGGAGCTAAATGTGACCACTCAAAATGCATTTAACTATGTATGTGGCTATTTAATTAAAAAATCATTACATATCCACTCTTGCAAAATTTTCGTAAATTTCTCAGAAGAATGCAATTTACTTAACAATTCTAACTTGTTAACGCATTTTAAAGCATATGACTCTGAAGAAAAGGTATTTGGCAATTTAAAATCTTCCAGCGAAAAATTTCTCTTTTATATTTTCAAATTAGAAAAAATATTTATATCTCTATTTGATAGTTTGTCAACTAAGCCTGGAATTTCCAACGCATACCTTTTTGAGATGAGCAAAATAAAATTTGGTCATCCTTGCCAACAATTTGCGAAAATGTACACCATTAAATTATTTATAAGACTTATAAGAAAAAGTCAGACTAAACTAAAAGAAAAATTAAAATTTTGTCCCATTTATAAATATTACTGATTTTTTTTCATCATATTTTTGACTGCTTTATAAAAAAAAGTTATTTTTCTTTGTAGTTTTATTTCTTAACTATTCCAATGGTCCAACTAACGTTTTTTCGTAATCACAATAAATAAATTATTATCATGGTCCAACAAACTCGCACCTTAAGCCGAAACCGGCATCGCTTTTGTGAGGGAGCGGGTAAAGATGCCGCTGCGTACATTCGTATCTGGTCTAGGTAATCTGTGCCATGGGTACAGCACGTCACGATTAGGACAGCGCCCCGCTTGTGTCGAATAATCCATCGCATGTGTTCATCTCTTGCTAAGTGATATTGCCGTTGTCCTTGTTTTTCGCATCATATTGAGAGAGAAGACAACAGAGGCACACATTTACTGTGCCCATCTTCCACTTAATTTCGGAATTCTCGGAACGTCGCTCAACGCCTGGTCGTCCAGTATCGGGCCAACGCGGTTTGCACTGAATATTAGATAAAATATTAATAGGCATTGAGGAAAATATAAAATATGTATTTTTTTTGGTTTATTATACTAGGGCACGTGCTCAAGTGCCCTTACGGGCAAACCGCCACTGATTGGGGGTAACCCTGTTGGCTATTATAATAAATAAGTGAATTTGAAAATTTTCTGACAATTTATGTTTAAGAAACTTTAAAGATAGGAGAGTTTGTCAAAATAAGAATATCTTCAACATAAATAATTGCTACAAAAATATTTACGTAATTATCTAGTTTGTAGTATACGCTTCGACCTGCATCAGACTGGATAAGCTCCATCGATATTAAGGCCTTGCTTAACCTCTGGTTCTTCCACTCTGTCGCTTGCCATATAAAAATTTATTTACTTTCCAAAATATATTATCTTCTCCAGGTTGTATGAGTTCTTCTGGTGGTTGAACATATATATCTTATTCTAGTTCGCCATGTAAATATGCGGTTACATCCATCTGGCATATTTCTAAGTCGCATTTCACAGCTAGAGTTAAAAATATCGAATAGAGGTATATCTTACTACAAGCGAATAGGTTTCATTGAAGTCAATGCCTTCGATATGTTGTTCACAACCTCTAACCACCACCCCTGCCTTGTACCTTTAAATTTTTTCAGCATTGTTTCTTTTAATTTTAAAAACCCATTTTTTGTCCTAAACCCTTTTGTTCTAGGGTAGGACAACAAGAAACCAGGTGTGGTTTTCAAGGGGTGAATTATACTCATATTGTATGACCTTCATCCACATATTTTTGCCATTTATGCTTTCTATTTCAGCAAAAGATACTAGTTCCTCTGATATTGGTTCCTCTGGTGTGTAACAAAAGTTACCGGCTGCTATACATGCTCGATATATGTGGATAGGATTTGAAATATGTGAGCTACGACGTAGAGGTGGGTTTTTCTTGTATAGATTCCTCTGGGTCCTCAATTAACTCAGTTACACATGGATTTTTTCTTTATTTCTTTAACGTGGCTTTCGTTCGATTCTACTACTTTTATATTTTCAGGAAGAAATTTATTAACTTCTTGCTTGCTTATCGTCTCTTCCTGACCTCTGTTTAATCGGTTTTCTAGAAAGGATACATCTCTGCTCAATATTGGGTTTATGAGTCGATAGCCCTTAACTCCTTTACTATAGCCCATAAAAAAGTATTTCTGGCGTTTTCTTTGTGTCTTTTGTGGGACAACGATTTAATAGATATACTGCTGTTGAAACCGCTTCTGCCCAATATTCCTTACCTAAATCTGCATCAATTAACATTGTTTTCTACAATAGATCTATTTGTTCTTTCCGCTAACCCGTTTTGTTTTGGAGTATAGCGCATTATGCCAGAGTTTCTTAACGAACGATAAAACTTTTTTATTCAAGTATCGCTTCTAAGAATTTTAATCCTTTAACCTACTTGAGTTTCTACTAACGTTTTGAAATCTTTAAAACATTCTTTTACTTAAGTTTCTCTTGAGAGAAAATAAATGAATATTTTTTTTTTGAAAAATCATCAACAAAGGTAAAGAAATATCTTGATTTTCCTATAGCACTGATTCTCCATGGGGCAGCGCAGATCAGAATGTATTAATTCTAATGGTGAACTGGACTGCCTATTACTTTTGAAAAATGGAAGGCAAGTTTGTTTACCTTTAATGCAGTTTACGTAAGGTTCTTTACTACATTTAGATATTGTAAAACCTGTAGATAATCTTCTACTAAGGAGTAAGATGCTTTGGCGGTTTAAATGCCCTAAACGGCGGGCAGTCTGCATCTTCAGCAGCAAAGAGGGGCTATCTAAATTGTAAATTTGATTTTCCTCTGAAGCAGTAGCAATAAAATAGTCATATGTGTCAACTATCTTGCGCCCGTTTTGATTAAAAATTACCATACTTCCCTTTTTCACTATCTTTCTTACGGATAATAGACTACCAGCGGCTCTGGGGATGAAAAATCCACATTTGAAGTTAACTTCGTGTTCTTCTTTAGCAGCAATAGTACGGATTATTGTATTTCCTACTGCTTCTACTTTTAAGTCTGTACCATCGATACTTGCTAGCTTTGTGTCATCATGAGCTGGATCTTCAGCTAATTACAATTACAGGTAATGTGGAACGAACCACATGAGTCAATGAACCACGCATCTTCTTTTATTAGATCCATTTGGAGAGCAGAAGGAAAAATAACTTGACTTATTTTTATTTACTTTGTTATTTGGTTCTGATTTGTTCTTTTTATTTTTATAACAATAATTATTAGCTGTGTGGCCGTATTTTTTACAAATATAACAAATAATTTTACTTTTAGAGTATAATGCAACATCAACTTCTTCATGTTTGTAAGATGATGTTTCATTAGTATCGTTGCGAATATCTTGAAGCAATTTAACTTTAATTGAATTTGCTTTTAATTTCGATGACTGAACTTTCTAAACATATTTTAATGATAAAGCCAAACTTCTATGGATCACAACAGTAATTATAGGATAACAAGTTAAATTCGGTAAACTCAAAGTAAGCAAAACAAACCTAACCACATTTAAAGTTTTGACAACTATAAAAGCATTGGCAGCCCCGTTACTATAGTTACTTTTGTTTGTATAGACAAAATTACGACACACTATCAATATCCATAAGTAGTTTAAATTATTCTTATTTTATTCTTTCTTTTTTAGCCTAGTTTCTAACCTACACACACATTTAGATGAACAAGTAATGATTTTTTATTTATTTATTGGCAATGAAGCCTGCAATAATTTTACTTACCTTCCTGGCCGACTTTGAGCAAAACGATGTCGAACAGGATTTCAATTTTCCCGTAACGCCGCATGGTGGCACCGGTGACAGTAGTTCCCCGGCCGCCTGCGATTCCTGTTGGCTGCTTACTGAATCGGTATGAGCGAATGGACCGTTGGCCACGCCTTCTTCTGTGACGACGACGCTCGGTGTTCTGTTTCGACCTCTGGGATTGAAGATGGTCGGGATGTCCCCGTCGCGGGTCATATCGTTGAACTAAAACATCGCTGACGCAGAGTGTGGTGTTAGATAGAGAAGGAGAAGAAGGAGAGCTGAAACAATGACATGATTATTTTTGGTTGTTGAACAGTTATTTTGACTATATAACATTTATGATTATAATTTCATAATATTTTTGGTGAGTATAGAGAGTAAGCCACTAAAAACAGTGCAGCCCGATATTTGGAGGAATTAATAAATTTTAAAAAATGCCGATTGTTAATTCAAATATTTAAAAAAATTCTGATTTAGACTTCTTTCACATGTATATACTTTAAATAGGGAGTGTACTATGTTGCACCTCATTAACATTGATATATTGACGCATTTCTCATCAATAATATACTAAATAAAGATGGGTATCCAACTGCTCTAATGTGGTCATGTTACAAAATAAGAAATGAAACTCTAAATTAATTTCGCATATGAACAATTTTTAATTATGCAAAATGATATGGCAACTGGTTTCAGCCCTATATATGGAGTTAAGTAGAGTGAAGAAAAATATTTTAACAAAATGTTGAAACATAAAAATTACATAGTAAAAGAATCAAAATAAATGACTGGAACAAACGTCACAGGAAAAAAGTTTACTTATAACTAAGTTATCATCACTTTAAAATTCAAAGAAATATTAGATGGATGTGGAACAAACAAACCAATTTTTTTCATTATTGAAGACTGCCCAACGATTTTATATTCCATGTTAAATCCACCTTAAATCCACCTATAACTTACCTTAAATCCAACTTAAATCCATCTTAAATCCATCTTAAATCCATCTTAAATCCATCTTAAATCCATCCTAAGTCCATCTTAAATCCATCTTATATCCATCTTAAATCCATGTTAAATCAATCTTAAATCCATCTTAAATTCATCTTAAATTCATCTTAAATTCATCTTAAATTCATCTTAAATTCATCTTAAATCCATCTTAAATCCATCTTAAATCCATCTTAAATCCATCTTAAATCCATCTTAAATCCATCTTAAATCCATCTTAAATTCATCTTAAATTCATCTTAAATTCATCTTAAATCCATCTTAAATCCATCTTAAATCCATCTTAAATCCATCTTAAATCCATCTTAAATCTATCTTAAATCCATCTTAAATCCATCTTAAATCCATCTTAAATCCATCTTAAATCCATCTTAAATCCATCTTAAATCCATCTTAAATCCATCTTAAATCCATCTTAAATCCATCTTAAATCCATCTTAAATCCATCTTAAATCCATCTTAAATCCATCTTAAATCCATCTTAAATCCATCTTAAATCCATCTTAAATCCATTTTAAATCCATCTCAAATCCATCTTAAATCCATCTTAAATCCATCTTAAATCCATCTTAAATCCATCTTAAATCCATCTTAAATCCATCTTAAATCCATCTTAAATCCATCTTAAATCCATCTTAAATCCATCTTAAATCCATCTTAAATCCATCTTAAATCCATCTTAAATCCATCTTAAATCCATCTTAAATCCATCTTAAATCCATCTTAAATCCATCTTAAATCCATCTTAAATCCATCTTAAATCCATCTTAAATCCATCTTAAATCCATCTTAAATCCATCTTAAATCCATCTTAAATCCATCTTAAATCCATCTTAAATCCATCTTAAACCCATCTTAAATCCATCTTAAATCCATCTTAAATCCATCTTAAATCCTTCTTAAATTTATCTTAAATCCATCTTAAATCCATCTTAAATCCATCTTAAATCCATCTTAAATCCATCTTAAATCCATCTTAAATCCATCTTAAATCCATCTTAAATCCATCTTAAATCCATCTTAAATCCATCTTAAATCCATCTTAAATCCATCTTAAATCCATCTTAAATCCATCTTAAATCCATCTCAAATCCATCTTAAATCCATCTTAAATCCATCTTAAATCCGTCTTAAATTCATCTGAAATTCATCTTAAATCCGTCTTAAATCCATCTTAAATCTTAAATCCATCTTAAATGAGTCGTTAAATTATCAAATATTGGTAAAACTAAAGTAATGATTTGACAGTTCAAACTTCAAAACGACTGATTTCGCACACTTAATACAAAAATAACTATTAAAATGCGCAAACTAAACGAATATTAAAATGACATTGTTAACGTAAGAATGTCATTTTAATCTTCGTTTAGTAATTTAAACTTTAAAGTTTAAATCAACGGTGGAATCGGTCCTAAACCGAACATTATTGTTAAGCCGGCTACTCACTACGCGTTACTTGCCAAGTACTTTGCAAGTTCCATGTAATGTGTATGGAGACTTGTATAGACTCAGCAAGTTACTTGTACTTCCCGTCGGTTGTCGGTAAACGGACCGAAGTCAAAGGATCCGAGTAAAGTTACTACTACTACTTTAGAAGGCTCGCGTAATGTAGACGATTTACTTGTACTCGAACAAGTACTTGCCAAGTTCAGTCCAAGTCAAGTAACTCGGCAAGTAACGCGTAGTGAGTAGCCGGCTTAAAGTAATGTAAAATGCAGTAGTGTAAAAAGTGTTGTCTATCTTCGAGTTTCATAAGGCATTTTGGAATTTGTTTATTTTGCATTTTGTATTTAAATAATAATAATTGCAAATAAACAAACGTTGTTTTTTTTTTGAATTAAAGTATCATTTGAACAATATTTAAAGAATTAAACCAGTTCCAAAAATGTTTTAGATAAGTATGTACCCAACCGAAGGTTTGGCAGAATATTGTGAAAATGTTTCAAGAATATCCCGCCATTTTATAATATACGTTATTTTAAAACGAAAGTAATTGTCACACACTCTGTACGTCACGAGTAAAACGAGAAGCGAGACAATATTATACACAGAAAAACTAAAGGATATTATAGGACTCAAAAAGGAGCGAAAAGGAGATCCCAAGTTGTGAGAGTGACCTACATTGCACCGGAGACGGAGAATCAATTTGTGCACTCTGTAACGGATTTTATCAGATTGCACAATTTTCTTTTATTACTCATTTTGAACACGTCGAGCTCTTCATTATGCTCTATTAATTTTTAAATATTGCCGTGTTCATTTGCTAGAGTGGTTTTTGCCAATTTGCGATACTATTTTTAGAGAATACTTCTCTTTGTTTTTGATTTAACGTCGGTATAATGATATAGTAGAGGTTGAATACCGTGTCTTTATTTGTACGTTACTCTTTAAATACCACTTTAATCAAATGAATAGGTATTAAAAACACATTACGGGGGGATGAAAAATATTAATAATAATAATATTATTCACAATGTAATAATTTTCTATACTCTTAGTTGATTAACAATCAAAGGCAACACCACGAGTCATCCAAATATAATCGATACAATTTTTAGTTTCCACGAAAAATTTAAAAGCTTAGTGGTATTTGAAAATATTTTTTTTTGGGATAATATTGTATGAAAAATACCCAATAAACATATTTGGAGCATGCATTAATCTAAAAGTATGTACTGACAATTACAGTGACGGTATTGTTTTTTGTGTGTGCTTTATTTACCTAAATTATATTGTATGTAATTGTTTCTGGGCTGTTATATCGTGGTAGCCATCTAGTGGCGTAGACGGAATACTCTTCTCGACGTATCAACTGAAACTGAATCCTCCTTTGTTTTTTTTTTGTGGCTTTATGTTATCATTTTCTAGGACATATTATTTCCTTTATACCCTGCTATTCGCTCCGTGCGTGACAGCAGCGCCAATTTATTTTTGTACTAATGGACTATTTTTGCCTATACTGACAATACAATAGCATGAAGTTAAAATGTATAAACAGAAGGATTGTTATTTATATTTTAATTTTTGTTCGAAAGAATAAATAGAATGAATGTTTAAAACTGGTTTCCTATCAGTAAGTCACAAAATTGCATTCCAGCCACATACAATAATCAAGAGCAGAAATCTAGTTCTTGCTGAAGAACATTTAAGATCAAAGGGATGTTGAAGAACATCGTAAAATTATATTTATTGTTTATTTAAAACCTTTCAAGTTTCTGATGTCTACTATTTCCAGCATTACTGTTGTTATTACAAAAATGAAGGCAATTTTTCTTCTTATTGTACACATATCCATTTATTTCTTTGATTTCCACTTTGCTACTGAAATTTTTTATAATTTACACTGTTTTTTGGTAGTATTTTTACAATTTTCAACACAGCAACTCTGGTTGCTTATTGTATTGTTTTTACCTACTTTTTGAAAAACATGTAAAATGTATACGTGTATTTGATATGACAAAATTACAAAATATCGCCCTAAAATGCACGAATTATTCGCAGCTAGCCTAGTATCGCTTTTGCTTCCCGCACTGAGCGAATAGGTGTTATCGTCCTCTTCAGGGTGGTTTGTCCTGATTACAATAAGTAACATATGTTTCCTAAGTTATCGTGTGCGCGTGTGGGACCTATGTGGCAGGTTGTGTTCCCGAAAAATATCGCCAATTTTGCTATTTTCAACCTCATAAATGGACAAGTCCATACATAGGCGCCGAATCCTCGGGGTTCTGGGTGCGCAAGCACCCAGAGCAGTTTTAAACTGGGTGCGGAGCACCCATAGCACAACGTGGACAAAAAGTGCCAATAAGTAAAATGAAGAAGCTGTCGTGGCCCAAGTTCGTAGAGCGACAGGATGCCTCAATGCGGCATCAGTTTTTCATTAGCTGTCAGAGTTGTGTCCTGAGACGTTGCACATTGCGATAATCCTAATACAAAATATTAAAGCTTTCTTCTTAAGACCCAACTTAATTTTTTTATTAGGTTAGAAGACGATTTTTCATTCGAAGTTATTTAAGACGTCACTTTAAATTATATCTCTTAATTTTAACAAATACGTAACACGATGAGTTTAATAATACGTATGTCTCGAATTAGCACGGTTGCAAATTAGCTGTACCTCATCGACAGTACATTTTTAAGTTTCCTTAAATAATTAGGACACAAATAAAAGAGTGTATTTTGGGTTTAGGTTTTAAATACTATAA